AGATAATTTATTTTCAATTTTTTTCTATATACGGCGAAAAATTTGGAGCAGATTCTTGAAAAAAAAAATTCAAAAATGCCTATATTTCATGAAAAATTACAAGACAACCATTAGCGTGATCAAAAATTGTACATGATCTCCTTTTAAAATCTATCTTGGAGCATTCTATTTTATTTAAAAAAATACCTATCTTCAATATAGTAGATGTTGGAAGACGCCGAAAAAATTTTGAAGGGGAAATTAATAAAAAGTGAAAAAGTCAACAATTTGGATGACTTTTTCAGAAAAGTTTTATTCAATTTATTGAAGCTTCATGTAAAGTAACACTAAAAACCAAAATATCCACTTTAAAAACAAGCTAGACCTCCAGTCCATTAAACCAATTGGGGAATATAAATTTAGAGAAAATTGTCTGCTGGTAGCGTTGACTACAGACAAACTGTCATCATCCTATTTTTCTGTATCATGGACTCTCAAAACGTAAATTCTTACTAGTGGTGGAGGAAGTAATTTTCTTTTAATAGGTAGAACACACACACATTAATCCACTTCGTTACTAGAGTCCGGCAATAGAAGCTTTTCTGCCAAAAAGTCGCAAATGTTCTTCGTACCATTATAAAATTTTATCTTTACTATGAACAAAGTAATGTGAGAAAAAAAATGAGTTCATCAGATTAATGGAATTATGTCGGAAGTTTTTGACAGAAAATGTTGAAGAAACTTGATAAAAGTAAAGGAACAAAGATTGAGAAGTGAAACGGAAGAGCAGGAGTCGACGTAGGAAAACGACGAAAATCGGATCTGGAAAACACCAGAACAAGCAGCAAAAAGCCGGCGAGGGCGCCTTTGCTATGCAGTTCGCGGGTGGAATCGCCATGGAGGGGGGAGGGGTGCATCGTGGGCCGTCGCTTGTGCACGTGTGTGCCAACGATGCGTGCGTTCAGGGCCGCGTTGTGTGTGCAGGCGGGACGTGAGGAGAACGGCGCGCCAGGCACAGCAAATTCCGCATAGTTTTGACAATAAAAATGATGAAAGAAGGATCAGAAAGCAAGCCTGTATAGTCGGGGTGGCAAAGGTTGAAAGGCTGCAGCCGCCTCGGCTCGCAACTCGGCTCAGAAATGGATCATATGTATGATATTGTTGTCTTTACGTATTCTTTCCACAGTTCCTCCTAAGTTAAAACAATCACAGTGGTCGCTTTATAATCAAAAATGTAAAAAGAGCTATCTAAAAAGCATAAGAAAAGTAAATAGACAAAGAATTACAATTGAAATGGAAGATTGATTACTAGAGATTACGGGCGTATCAAAGGGTAAGAGCATTAGTCCCGTACGTATAGTGCATGCTTTTTGCTCAGGAGGCTGTGATCTTACCCCGCTTTATGGCGAGATCCGATGGCGATCAACTATCGGCTAGCGGGGTTTTCCCCAACTAAATATCGCCTACCAGCGGTGCACCGCCCCAGCCGGGACAAGCTCTAACCTCTCGACCGGTCTCCCAGCATGTGTGGTAGTGTAGTGGGTAATGTACGGGTAGGCATGTTTAAGGGGCAGGATATGATACGGTCTATCTGTGAAGTGTCGAAAACTCTGCCACCGTCGGGACTCAAAGCCCAAGATTTCCCCAATCAGAGGCACTGCAATAACATCAGTTGAAGCCCTGAGCCCCCTCTCCCGGTTGACATGGAAGAGAATTAGGACGAATGGTCTTGAAGAAAAGAAAAGAAAAGGCAATGGAAAACAGAACTAGACCGCGACCGAGCCGAAAGAGCCGTTGAGAGCGTAGAAAATTCCCTGGCATGGCCTGTTTGCTGGCGGAAGCGCATGGCACGCCACTACTCGCGCGCTGAACGATGCGTGTGTGCGCGTTCGAAGCGAGAGAGGGAGTGACGCGGAGAGGGGGACCAAACGTCGCAAATTTTTCACAATAAAATGGTGAAAGAAACACCAGAACGTAGGCCTGGATGTCACTAAGAGTGAAGGGTCGTAACTGCCTCGACCCTAAGGGTCGCGGGTTCGAATTTCGCCTCGGGCATGGAGTTGTTTGAGTGCGTGTTGTACTCAGGCCTTCTAACTACAGATCCACCATCAGTTAAAATAATCGCAGTGATCGCTACATGATCAAATTGTTAAAACGCGACCCGAAAAAAAAGAATCAGAAGTGTAAAGAGTCAAAGAATTAGAGGATGAAACGGAGGAGTATCAGCAGGAAATGGTCATGGAGGGAAGGGAGGAAAACGATGAAAAACAGACCTAGAAAATATCAGAACCGGAAGTAAAGAGCCTTCGAGAGCGTAGACAATTCCCCCGGCCCGGTGGTTCGCCGACGGAAGCGCCGCGGAGCGGACGTGGCGTTACCAGTACGCGCGCGCTCCGACCGATGCGTGGGCGAGCGGCGCGGGCGGGTGGCGGGACTGGCGGCGGTGTGCGCGCAGGCGGGGGGCGCGAAGAGGAGGGCGGTGGCGCGGCCGGGCAGAGCAGGTTGTCGAAGCGCCGGCGTGCGCGCGGCGGAGGCGGAAGCGCCGCCGACATTCACAATGCGGCCCCCGCGCCGCCCCGCGCCCCTCGCCGGCACGGGGAGCATGGTCTGCGGCTTCGCGTCCCACGCGCTCCCCTCCACGCGCCCGTCGCTTCCCTGCTCCGCACGCGCCGCGCAAAGCGCCCGCTTTCTCGTGCACCCGGCCGCCCTGCCGCGGGCGGAGTCGAGGGCACCGTCGGATGAAGATAACGCGCCAGCCGGCAGTCCACGCTTTTTGGAACCGCCCCCTGTTCCCTGCTTATTTAATAGCGAATTAAACGTTCCCCCGGGGCAACCACCAAGCGTCGCCGCCGCACGCCACCGCGCCCAAAATGAAATACGGCTGAAAATACGCCGCCGCGCGCCACCACAATGCAAAAGAGACTCCCATTGACGCGCGCCGTAACCACGCGCGCTGTGCGCGTGCAAAAGGCGACGACCCTCTCGACACGTAAACAGCCAGATCGAGGCGGCGGTGATAGCCGCGGCGCCTTATCGGGCTCGGACGGGTAGTCGCCCGCCGGGCTAATAACGCGAGCCGGCGGCGGTGAGGCGGGAGGGCAGCGGGGCGGGTCGGTGGGTCTGCAAGGCGGAAGCTACGTAATTGGGCGAGCGGTCAATCGGCGGAAGGAAACGGAGCCCCGACGAGCGATGACGAAGGAGTGTCGAATCGCGTGGAACGAACCACGGCGCAGCGCAGGAGCGTGGAGCCAAAGATGCCCTGGTTTGTGGGGAAGAATAAGGGTCGAAGACGTGCGAAGGCAGTAGAAACAGCAGGGGGTCAACTGATAAGCCCGAGGAAGACGGAGAGAAATGGCGGAATGATAGCCAGGGCTGAAAGAGCAATGGGGCAGCAAAAAAAGCGAGGCGGGGGGCGAAAAAATGATGAATATGTCAGATATAATGAACGTGGAAAGGAGAACAGCACGTGTGTGGAATATAAAGAAGAGAAAAGGATCGGCAAGACAAGAAGTATGAAAGCAGAAAGGATACAGATGAATTCATTATTTGGGAAAAAACTCACGAGTGGAGTAAATAAAGATATTGTAGGTAAATGTGAGATTTGTGTTCATTTAAAATTATATGAGTGTAGGAAAATATTACCGAGCATTAATATTACAAAGTAGTAACTGGCACGTGCAAAAGTTAAGAGGGCAACGACTAAGGCTTTAGAGCGGAGGATGGAGAGAGCAGCGACAACGTGATGACAACCCGCAGCGACAGAGGGACGCGGGCGACGGGATCTACGGGGCTGTGGCGAGCTAAGCAGGCTGAGAACCCGCGTCCCCTTATCTTCTTTCACGCGTCGCCGCCCGCGCCTCGGACTCTCGCGCGATTCGACGCATGCGCCTGAAGACTCTGAGAGGTACTGCGCGAGGCTAACCACTTACCTGTTCCACCCACACGTTCGTCGTCATGATCTGGTTCTTGAGATTCTGCAACAAACAGAAAAGAACGTCAGATTTCCGTGTTCTGTAACATGTACAAAATCGAAAAGACATATTCGACTTTTAGTCAAGTGCTCACGGATTTTAACATATTGAGAGGCCTGGTCCCCAACGACTACTTGTTACTTTTTTTCCATTTTAATATTGTCAAAATATTTGGATTTTTAACTCCTCCGAGTATTTATTTTTATCAAATATAGAAATATCTCAATTTTAAAGACTTTTATTAAATTACCTGACTTTTTAAACTATTTAATATAATAAAATTCTATTATCATCAGCATTTCATTAGTACACTCAAATTAAAAATATACAAATTTTGAAATACTTTGTACTTTTATAGATTTGTTTAATACATTTATGTTAATGAGATAGCGAAATAATTCTTCAGACTAAAATACTGAAAGTTTTACATCAATTTAATGCGTGCGTAAATCTATTCACTCAAATGCTAATTTCGGCTCTCGGGCTATTAGGGTATCCTGGGAAAGTTGCAGTTCAGGCAGCGCCCTTGATACTATCTTCCTAATTTCACGTCACCTATGCAAACGCGGTTGATACCCAGCGTGTTAGAACTTTCCTACTCTCTCATGTAAACTAAATTCAGTAAGCGTACACTCCTGCTTTTCTGGCATCGACGTTGAGAGTTACAAAGCAAGCTTTCCAGGGATATTACAAGATATTAAGAAAGTTTTACGCTGACGAGCTATTTGTTCATCCCACACTTCCTTCACTGATCAGAATCCTAAGTAAATGTTCAAATATTTACTCTTAGCTTGGGCATGCAAATGTCCTACATCTCAAAACAGTAGTAATCCTTCTTTAGCATGAACTAAAAGACTTTTTTGTTTTCAATAGAAATTTTCTGAGAATATTCTGAGAGGAAGTAAAAAATGCAATGTGTGTCTTGTTTTATTTACACAAATGCAAGGTATATAAACCTTATAAATGGTGTAATAAATTAATATTTTTTAATTCTGAAGTGATATCAATAAAAAGTTTTGTAAGTACATGCGACCCCTAAAATTACATGAATTTTCCGCGTTCCTTCCCAGGCAGCAGTTTTCACATTACAGTAAATGATATCGGTATTCTATACTCAATCAGTACCACAAACACAGTTCTCAAATGTTGCTCAAAAGTAAATGGTGATAGATGGCTAAGAGTAAATGGATATACGTTCATCAGTGTCATAACAAATTAATGTCTTATTTTTTATAGAGAAAGAATGAATAAGTGATAACTTTTCATCGACATTAGTTGGATTCCACGTAACATGGATTCTGTAAAATTATTGAATGCCATTGAAAGATTAAAAAAATTAACTGATTTAAAGCAATTTAAACATTTTTAAGTTTTGAATTGAATCAAAACCGAAATTCATTGAAAATACTTCAATTTACGCTGAAACAATGCTACGATATATAAAAAGGAAAGTTTCATTTCACTCTTATAATTTCAAATATTTCACTCGTTGAAAATATTTGCAATTGCCAGTACAAAGAATTTGAGTGTTTTAAGTAATTTCTACACACATATTAAAGCCGTGAGAGGCGACATTTCGAAGCTTTCTCAAAGATTTTTATTTGAAAATTGTTTCTCTCTGTTCATTTCGAAACAATAGGTCATGAATACAAATATTATTTATCTTGTGTTGGAACTTTCATTGGTAGAAAGTTGTGCATTTATTATCTGTCGATTTTAATGGAAAAATCAAAACTTTTCTTTGAAGACCAATAGCTAGCTTCCGAATTCCCCTTACAGTCATTTTCTACAAATACGCGTTTTCTACACGAAGTATTGTCTTAGAATTTGAGAAGCGATTACATGTGAGTTATTTTATTTTGAAGTAAACTTCGAAGTGGTTTAAAGTTCACAGACTCTAATTAAAATTTTGAAAGAGCTACTTGAATACTTGTGATAGATTTGTTTCATTGTAATTCGGATATGTTTTATGACCCTTACATGTGAGAACATTTTTGTTTTGTGATAGTATTAAATTGCATTTCTTCTGCGTCACGGCGAAATCCAATCCGGTTCACCGTAAATGCACAAAGAGGCGAAAGGCCGAAGGAGAGATGCTTCAGCGGATGAGAAAGGGGGGTGGTGATAGCTGCCGTCCGCGGCTGCTGCGTTTGCGTGCGTGCGTGCGGGCGTGCGTGGGGCGGCGGCGGGGGCGGGCGGCGGCGGGCGGGCGGGGCGGGCGGGCGGCGGGCGGGCGCGCGGGCGCGGGCGGCGAGCGGCCTGGCAGGGCGGCTGATGGGCGAACATACGTATACGGCTGGCGGTCTCGAGGTAGCTGCGCGATCGCTTGTACGAGAAGCGACGGGAGAAAGGGCTCGGCTCTCACAGCCCGACGCACGCCCGAGCTGGCAATCCACAGGATGGAGAGAATGAGGGAGACGCGGGGTGGAAAGCAGGGCCAATTTGTTAGGTGTGCCTAATGGCATGGCAGGATCGACTGTGCAGCATGTCATTGGCGTGGTATGGAAATGGCGTACATTGTATGTCAGTGTGCAATGGGCGAGGCATGCCGTGCTTTACATGGGGTGCATAGAGGAATGCGAGAGCGTTTATGGTTGCGACGTGGCTTGAATGGCATATGTGGCGTGCGTGGCGTGGCCATGGCGTGGCATGCGTATCGGTGCATGGTATGGCGAGTGAAAAGCGGGGCGAGTGAGGCATGTGAGGCGGAAGAGATGGGTGTGGCAGGGCGGATTGAAATGGGGGGGACCTGTGGGTCAGAGCAAGATGAGTCGTGGAGAAATGGGGCAGGGCGTGGAAGGTCGGGAAAGGTGGGACTGCGAGGGATATGGCGATATAGGCGTGGTGGATTGTGACTGGATGTAGTAGGGTGTGGCGGGGGTGCCTGAGTGTGGCGTGTTGGTGCTGGTTGTGACGGACTGTGGTTGGGTGTGGCGAGATATAGCGACGTGTTGGTGAGTTGTGGCGGGGTATGGGCGGTTGTGGAACAGTGCTTTAGGGAGGGACGCGGCGAAGTGAATGCGAAGGCAGAAGAGAGCCTGGAGGAAAGTCAATTTGTTGGGGGAAAGCGAGCCACGAGGATGGCATAAATCCGACATTACGTAACAAGACAGAAGTGTAGTTTTAGGAAAAAGGAACCAAGAGGAAAAGTAGGGAACAATGAGGTAGACGATTGGAAAGATTTTCAGAATGGAAGGAGAGTGGGGATGAAAATGATTATACTGATCAGAGAAAAGATCAGAAAATGTGAAAAGGGTAAAAATGCGTCAAGCCGCGTTGTGAATAGTTAGACAGGGAATGAAGTACAAGAGGACACTTGAAAGGTGAAAGAGGGAGAAATGGCAAGCGAGAAAGAAAGAAGTCAGAATCCCAGAACTGACTATGTATCGGAGTATCGGAGAGAAAGGCGGTGCATGAAAGACTGAGCTTAGGATTTTGAAGAACGCTTGGGAAGTGTTCATGTAAGAGACAAATACGCAATGAGGGGACAGCAAGCTATGATCAAGAGAAAAATAGAAGAGAGAAGTTGAAGTAATGAAAACAGAGAAAGAATTAATTAAGTATAAATCAGAACTATCTCAAGGATAAATGAAGTGTTAGTTTTGAAGCCCATTTCAAAATTTAAATAAATAACTCTGTTTAATACCTTGCAATCGTTTCATAGTTTAATCTTTTGGCAGCTGAAAAAAAATTTACATTTACTGTCTTAAAAATAAACAATACCATGATACCAGGGGGTCTTTAGTAAATGATAATTGATATGCTTTTAATGATGAAATTAGTATATGAAAATTTTGAAACCATTAGTACAAATGTCTTCGACGGCTGAATTCTAGCAGACACAAGATGAAACAGTGCATTTTATCATTGTCCACGTAAGTTTATTTTATACGAGTCTATTCAATATAGGTGTCTTTTCAGGACTTTGACTCAAATTCGTACGATCTCATTTCAAAAGCTCATATGTCTAGTTAACCCAGAAAGAAAATTTATGTATCAGCTTTGAATCGGGGATATAACAACAATTATTGTATTGAAATATGTTACTCAAGTATTTTCTATTAGATAATTATTTACAAATAATAACGTGCATGCTACTGTATGAAAAGCGTATCTTTAACATTCCATTCTCGTTTCTCGTGAGTGCCTGGATAGAAGAGTACTTTTGTTATATTTTAGAAGGGAGCGGTATATTTAGAAGCAACGTCGAATAAGGTGGCTGTCTGTGGTAAAGTAAGTAGATCAGAATGGATTTGGAGAAAGAAAGAAATGGAATGGTTAGCAGTAAGATGTGGATACGAAAAGCACTTTAGGATGGAGCGAAATTGAATGGGTCGCAGCCGGGTCGCGGCGAAGGAGCGCCGGGCTGCTCCAAATAGGCTGGTAGAGCTCGCGAGGGTGTTGGGAAGTGGGAGGAGAAGGGTGGGGGGAAGAGGAGAAGAGGTTGCGATAGGGCAGGGTTGTACAACTGGCGGCCCGCCGTGCCCTTTTTTGTGGCCCAAGAAAGGTTATTATTGGTCAAACGTCCTCTGCATTTATATCGGGCACAGCCAGCTATCAGCAAGAGGAAAATAGAACAGAGAAGTTAAAGTAATGACAACAGAAAACGAACCAGTGAAGTATGAATCGGACTATCACATGACCAAAGGAAGTTTTAGTGTTGAAACAAATTACAAAATTTAAAAAAATAATTCTGCTTAATGCTGTTACTGTAATAGTTTCATTGTTGTATCTATGCAAAGCATTGTTGTAGCTTTGCAGAAACTGCAAAGAAAAATAGTTTTATATTTACTGTCTAAAAATAAACAATACCATGATAACAAGGGGTCTTTTAATGAAAGATAATTGACATGATTTTAATGATGAAATTATTATATCGAAATTTTGTAACCATTAGTACAAATAACTTCGTCTGCTGAATTCAAGCAGAAATTAAGCGCACTGCAGATTTACACCCCCTTTACCGTAAAAAATAATTTAAGTCTGAATTAAAGGATTTTTATGTACGTTCAGACATCGAAAATCATTTCAATCTTTTTCATTGGGTTATATATGGGTCGGTCTGGCATCACGCAGGGAGTACCCGTCTCGTTTCAGAGCAGCCGGGCGAAATTCCGAGGTCAACAATAAGGGGGCCACGTGGGAATCACCCGAGTAATGAAAATACGGCCAGCAACCACATTAAATGTTTTAATTGTGGCCCTTGAGGAGTCGGACACCCCTGCGGTAGGGCCTGCGGAGGCGGCGCAGCGAGCGGCGGGGCAGCGCGGTGCCTGGGAATCCCGTGTGTCAGGGGGGTTTACGCGCGAGCGGCAGCGGCGTTGGCGTTGGTTGAAAGGTAGAGAGAGACGCGATTAGATCGTTGAGTTGCTGGAAAATGGTACATGTGACGATGTGGGCGGTTGTGACAATACGAGGTGGATGTGGTGGAAGTAGTGCGATTGTTGATGCTGGTGGAGGGGGACTATGATGGGGTCGATGTGGTGGGTGAGACGGGACGGTGGAGGTGGATATGGTGGGAGTAATAATGGTGGAGGTGGATATGAAGGGAAGGAGTACAGTGCATGTGGGTAGTGTAGGGCGGGTATGGAGGGGTTGGAAACGATGGGAGTGGAAGCTAAGGTGTTGTACTCGATGGAAACGGGTATACTGGAGTCGGAATTGGAGATTCTGATATTGATTAGGCATGTGCGAGTGTTTGGGACGGTGGTTGTGGTTGGGTCGGTGGTTGTGGTTGGGTCGGTGGTTGTGGTTGGGTCGGTGGTT